GGCTGGGGATTTGAACCCACCACCTTAGGTGTATGTGGCTGGCGCCTTAGCCGCTTGAGCCACAGGCGCCGAGCCTCTATCTTAGTCTCAATGGTAACCTTGTTCATATGCTTTTAAACCCTGCTGCTGCTTATTTAAATATTTATTCGCTATTGAAACTGTATGGCTGTGTATGAATATACATGGAGGGAATAAAATATTTATCTCCATCACATTGCCACCCGTCTTGATGAATATTAGGAAAGATATTTTTTTTCTGTTAAATAAAATGATGGCATGATTCTGTTATCCAAATAATGCTTCACTATCTTTTCTGAAGCATTTTCTTTGCCAAATGTTTGTTTTGTATGACCTGTTGTGCTTGAGAGATGTTATATTTCACAGAATCATTTTGAATAGAAAGACATCCCTTTTGCACAATGTGTATCTGTAGTGGGATGTGTGAGATCTGCTGGTGGTAGAGAAGTTTCGTTCTAATCTTGGTCATCTGAGAACCTATGGAAAACACAGGATTACATATAGTGTGCAGTAATAAACTGTTAATATAGTAAGAATGCAGAACAACTACTCAAAATGAATTTTGGTTTTTTTCTGAGACAGAGTCCCACTTTGTCGCCCTCAGTGGAGTGCTGTGGCATCACAGCTTACAGCAATCTCAAACTCTCAGGCTTAAGCGTTTCTCTTGTCTCAGCCTCCCAAGTAGCTAGGACTACAGGCACCTGCCACAACATCTGGCTATTTTTAGAGATGCTCTGGCTCAGGCTGGTGTTGAACCTGTGAGCTCGGGTAATCCACCCCCTGTCGTCCTCCCAGAGTGCTAGGATTATAGGCATGAGACACTAAGCTCAGCCAGTTCTTTTTTTAAAATAGAGGCTCAGGGAGGAAGGAGGAGAACTGGTGTGCTCCCACTTATGTGGGAGTATATGGACGGGACACAACTATGACAGGGACTATATCTAACAAATGCAAATAATGTAACCTAATTCTTTGTGGCCTCAAATTAACCTGAAATTTAAAAAAAATAGAGGTTCAAAGACAATATGATATAATTTGTAACAGTACATATATACTTGCCAGTAGAAAAATTTAATCAGGTCATTCGGGAATCATCCTTCAGCTCCACACCTTCAAGTCTTCTGAAGATGAAGAACTCAAGTTCTTCCCATCTGGTGGGAAGATAAAGACATTCTATGGGAAGCCCACAGCATCATCAGAACTCCTGGATCCCTTCAACTTCCTTATACCCTTTGGGGTCAAGCAAACCATAATTTGCAGAGCTCTTTAGAATTGAGATTATTTCTGCATTAGAATGCCATATTTGAAAATGTAGTACACTTTCCATGAAGAGTCAAAAAATGAGGGCAAAAAATCCCATTTTCAGACTAATGAAAGAAAAGAAAATCTGATAATTTACCATCAGTAGTTCCTCATGGTAGGAAATACTAAAAGATTTATTAGAAATTTGAGCCCAGATGGAAGATGTGAAAAGTAAGAAAGAATATAATGAGTTTATCATAAGAATTATGACCTATGAATTTAAGATAGACTGGAAATAAATAACAGTAATGATATACTATATGTAAGTTTGAGAGAAGTAAATGTAGTTAAAAGGTTCTAAAGAGCTTGTATGGTCCAGGATGAGGGTTTCCTGAATAACTTTAAATTTTGATAAGTTAGGAATGAGTGCTTGAATTTCTGGGGCAATCATTAGCAGAACAGAAATGAGGGATATAACCTTACAAACTAACAAAGGGTAGGGAAAATGGAAGAAGAAGAAATGTGTAATCCAAAAGAAAGAAAGGGAAAAACAGAACATGCAGAATAAATGGAAGTCACAAAATAAGATCATAGATGAAACCAAATAATTTTTTAAACCAAATAATTTATATGTAAGCAAAATGTAAATGAACTAAATGATTCTTTAAGAATTAAAGATAGAAAGATATTTAATTACAGTAGAACCTCTTTAAGTTGACCACCCAAGGAACTGTAACGAACTGGTCAACATAAGGAATTAGGCCTACTATACCAGTATGTACATGTGGTGCATGTCCAGCCTATGAAACTAGCTCAACTTCAGGGAGGTAGTCAAACATGGAGGGTCTACTCTATATTATTTTTATAAGAGATACCTCTAAAACATAAGAATACAGATTGTTTGAAAGTACAAGTTTGCAAGAAGAAATATCAGGATTTACAGTGAGCAAAGTCAGGAAAACAGAAACCTCTCTGGGCAGTCTAAATAAAGAGATTTATTTAATATAGGGAACTAAAGGCTGACACAATCTTTGAAATAGCTAGATGATAAAGATCAGGGAGCAAAGGTCAGCAAGCTGCTTTCACAGGAAATCTACTTTCAAGGAAGATTAATGGTTGCTTCTTATGCAGCTTCCAAATCTGGTGCAGTTGGCCCTCATTGGCAGAATTTTATTAAGAATCATATAAAGAGGTTTGGGACACCTGTGGCTCAAGTGGCTAAGGCACCAGCCACATACACCTAAGGTGGTGGGTTCGAATGCAGCCTGGGCCTGCCAAAAAACAACAATGACGGCTACAACCAATAAAATAAAATAAAATAGCTGGGCGTTGTGGTAGGTGCCTGTGGTCCTAGCTACTTGGGAGGCTGAGGCAGGAGACTTGCTTGAGCCCAGGAATTGGAGGTTGCTGTGAACTGTTATGCCACAGCACTCTACACAGGGGCACAGCCTGAGGCTCTGTCTCAAAAAAAAAATCATAAAAAGAGAGGGATACTGGGAACTATAGTTTTAATGTTCCCCTTTGAAGCAGAGATAAACGATGAAGGGAATGGTGATAATGTTAGCTGATAACAAGAAGCCAGCTCCACACAGTTATAAGAGGGACTATATCTAACAAATGCAATCAGTGTAACCTAATTTTTGTACCCACAATGAATCCCAAATGACAACAAAAAAAAAAAAAGAAGAAAGAAAGAAAAAAGTTCCAGCCCCAAAGGAAATGGATGTAGTTATATTAATATTAAAACACAACAGACGAGTATCCAATGTACACAGCCCTATTTTGAAACTAATTCATAGCTTTTATAGGAATGTCATAACCTAATTATAGCCTTAGAATAAGGGAAGGGGGTGGGAGGGCGAAGTGAAGGGGGTGGATGGGGGGAGGGAGGGAAATTGGTGGGGTCACCTCTATGGTTTATCTTACAAGGGTACAAGTGAATCTTTCTAAAAGCAGAGTATGAACATTTTAACTCATTAACTAAGAAAATGACGTGAAGGTTATCTTGACCAGTTTGATGAGAGTATTTCAAAATGTACATGAAAACAGCACACTGTACCCCATGATTGCATTAATGCACACAGTTATGCTATAAGAAATAAAAAAAACCCACAACAGACGATAAGGTCAAAAGCATTACTAGAAATAAAGAGAATCACTTCATAAAATAATAAAAAATTCTATTCACCAAGAAAATATGATATAATTTAAATTTTTTTTGGCTTGGTGCCCATAGCACAGTGGTTACAGTGCCAGCCACACACACCAAAGCTGGTGGGTTTGAACCCGGCCCAGGCCACCTAAACAATGGCAACTGCAACAAAAAATAGCTGGGTGTTGTGGTGGGCACCTGTAGTCCCAGGTACTTGGGAGGCTGAGGCAAGAGAATCACTTAAACCCAAGAGTTTGCGGTTGCTGTTAACTGTGACGCCACAACGCTCTACCAAGGGTGACATAGTGAGAAAATTTTTTTCATAATGTGAAAATTTTTTTAATTTTTACAGGCCTAATAACAAAGCTTCAAAATATATAAAGCAGAAGTTGATATAATTATAAGGAGAAATAGATAAATCCACAATGATATTAGATGCATTTTGTATCTCTTTCAGAAATAAATAAAAATACAGCAAATATATGCAAAAATCAAAAATTTTACAAACAAACTTCTTAATGGGCATGTATGCACATTGTTCCCAATAACTTCACTCTTTTCTAGCATACACAGAACATTTACAATATTGACCATATCCTTGGTTATAAAGAAAATCTTAACCAGTTTCTAAAAATCAAAATTGTACACAGCAGGTTCTTTGACCTCAATGAAATTAAGCCAAAAATCAACAAGTTATAAAGTCACCTTATTTTAGAAATTAAGAATCATACTTCTAAATGACTCATGAGTTATAAAAAAATTAAGAAATATTTAGAGCAAAAATAAAATACCACATTTCAAAATACTGTATATGGGATCAGCAAATGTAATATGTAGAGGAAAATTTATAGCCTTCAATACATATATTGGAAAGGAAGAAAAACTTAAATTAGTATATGTGAAAAAAGCAGAAAATTATAGCCTGCAAGCAAGAAGAAAATCAGTCAAGAGAAACAGTACATTTAAATAATTTAAGCAATAACTTTATTGTAGAAGGATTAATGAACAAGAATTCAGAGTTGGGGACAACAGAGAATGGAGGGGGCAAAGAGAAGAGGCCAATTAATATGGTAAAGAATAGAGTTAGTGTTTACTGAAATGGACTTTTAAGGGTGTTTTTAGAACGGGGAAATTGTAATATTTTCTTTTAAATTATCTGCTAAAGAGTGGTCGATCCACCTCCTTATCCCTCCAATCTTCATTAAGAGTGTTTTTGAAAGAATTGGTTCATATTTGGAGTTGGGGGTGAGAACCAAAAGGGTGTGTATCCCTAAAGGGAAGAAATAGCTACACAATGTAGACTGGAGAGCAAGAATTCAACTGAAGATGAAAACTGGACCAAAAAATGGCTCAAAGACAATTAAGCCCCTGGGATTTCATAGGCATCTTGGAAAACCGTAAAAATGCCTGAAAGTATGGAATGGAGCTTCCAGCTGATTTTACCTTGAGGGGCAAGTTAACCCATCTGACATATTTTAATTATATGAGTCTGAGTGAATTAACTTACAATGAGAAATATAAAACTCTCTGACATGTTCTTGACCTCCATATCCTCTCCCTGGGTGCAGATCTATAGACTCAAGAAGCAAAGAGCAGCTTGGCAAGTCTGGAGAACTAATGGAGAGAAAAGGGATATTCCCAATTACCTGAGTCATCAAGAGGGGATAGACTGATCCAGCTATAGACACATCTAGGCTATTTACTTACAACAATAATGAAAGAGGCTTTGGGGAGATCAAGGCCATGGAGCAATTATGTGAGAGCTGAAATTTGAATTCAAGCATGTCTAAGTTCAAGGCCTGTACTTTGTCCTCTGCATCATGGGGGACCTTTCAGAATGCCTCTTCCCTAGACAGTACAGTTGGCTCACATCTCCTTCAAATTGTCTGAGATAAGAACAATACCAACCTGGAATGGTGTCATAGCCAGACCATACTGAAGCTCCTTGAAAGGCAGGCCCAGGGGCCTTCTCTGGCATATGAAGACCTTATGCATGATTTATATCTACACTTTACTGTTTGTTTTCTGTATGTCTCATGTCCCTTTTGTTCCTCTATTGCCTTTTTTTGCTTTAGGACAATATTTTCTAGGATGTCATTTTAATCCTTTTGTTGATTTTTAGCTATTTTTTATTTTCTTAGTGATTGCTCTAGGAATTACAACAGACATTTTATCATCTTCTACTTCAGATTAATGCTAACTTAATTCCAGTGCAGAATTTGCAGAATTATGACTAGAGGAACCCGGCTCCAATTTAGCTCTATTCCTTACCCCTTTCTTTGGCAAAGAGTTATGAAATATACATAATCACTGGGAGAATTCTGGGAACTACGACAAACTATTTGTAATTAAGATGACCACATTTGTGATCTGACTACACATTACTCAAAGACACACAAAGTCATGGATAAACCAAGTACAAAGGTCATAATAAGGAACAGTTTTACTGATTTCTATGCCTAAAGTTTCATATCCCTTCGCTTGTCTGTTCTTTAAGAATAAAACACAGCTATGTATACAACCTCAAGGAAGAGAGTAAAAAGTTCAGCAATCCAGAGTACCTTAAACCAATTGTGCAGGGCTGCTGTGTTAGACACTCACTACCCCCTGATGCAGAGCTCATGGGTCACTAAATCATGGGATGATCCTCAGATGAGATGACACGTATTAGTTCTTGAATGGTGTTTTCCTCAGAGACACCAAGCAATTGTTCTTTGGCTAGATGCAGGGCTCTTGCAGCATATTCCTTTGCCTGAAACAGAATTGCAGTGGCAAAAGGAAGTTGTCACAGGAAAGCATAACGTTGGGAAGCCCCATCTGTGCTCAATTCCAGAAACATAGGACAGAACTTATTATTTTCTCACACCAGCCACTGAGTCTTGTCAATGAACCTGTGAACACACGTTGGCCCCTATGGCTAGCCACCTGTGTGCTGGATGCGCCAGGGGCATCAGAAAAACCCACGTTATTTGTCAAACTAAGTACACCTTCTTAACAAAGTGAGATGTTGAGGGAGGTTGGCACACTTTTTGTGTATGGGACATAACCACAAGATGAACTCTACCTAAAAAAAACTAAATATTTTGACCTGGTTGCTTGTACCCTCACATTAAATTTTTAAAAAAATCCACAAAGTGAGATCTTTGTAGGCTCTTTATCAGGGGCCTATGGACCAACCTTGGGAGGTATAGCGATAATAGGTACCAGAAGTAAATTATCATCCTGGGGCTGTGTTGGGAGCCATGTTGCCCAGAGTTTTTTGACTTGATTAGAGGCTCCCATCCTTCCTTCCTTCTATCCTATAAATATTTATTGAATAGCTACTTATTCCAGATCCTTTGACTACAGGCAGACATTCCTGTCCTCATGGAACTTATGATACAGTAGGGGAGAAAGCCAATAAATAAGACAAATAAGTAAAACATGATAATATCTTAAACAGCGATAATGCTAAAAATAAAGCAAGAAAAGGCTCAGCACCTGTAGCTCAGCGAGTAGGGCACCAGCCACATATGCTGCAGCTAGCGGGTTCAAGCCTGGCCTGGACCTGCTAAACAACAATGACAACTACAACAACAACAAAAATAACTAGCCATTGTGGCTGACACTCATAGTCCCAACTACTTGGGAGGCTGAAGCAAGAGAATTGCTTAAGCCCAAGAGTTTGAGGTTACTGTGAGCTGTGATGCCACAACACTCTACCAAAGTTGATGGTCAGCCTCTGTCTCAAAAAATAAATAAATAAAAAATAAAGCAAGGAAAGGGGATTGGAAGCAGGGGTGGAAGTAGGTTCTGCAGTTTTAGACAGAGAGACCAGAGAAACTTTCACTGTGAAGATAGCCAAGTAAAGATCTAAAGGAGGCAAGGGGCCTATCTTGATTTATAGATGTGTCCCTCTTGTCTTAGGGAGGCCTTTTGTAGCTCTAATATGCTTCACATATCTTGGGGTAATGACTTCCTTAAGTATACAGGGGGAAAATTGGATCTTGCTCTATAGAAAAGAGATTTTGTCCAACATAAATTTAAAAATTCCAGGCAGGGCATGGCAGTTAATGCCTATAGTCCTAGCATTCTGGGAGCTGAGACAGGTGGATTGCTTGAGCTTCAGGAGTTCAAGACCAGCTTAAGCAAGAGGGAGGCCCCGTCTCTCCTAAAAATAGAAAGAACTAGTTGGGCATCATGTAGTCCCAGCAACTACTTGGGAGGCTGAGGTAAGAGGATTGCTTGAGCCCAAGAGTCTGAGGTTGCTGTGAGCTATGATGATACCACGACACTCTACCCAGGGTGACAAAGTCTCACTCAAATAAATAAATAAATTTGAAAATTTTGTGGGAACATTTCCTTATTCCCTAACCATTCCTACCCCTATTTCAGCCAGGGTTGGTGCCCTTCCTCTGTGCTCCCACAGTGCTCTGGGCTTTGCTATCACATTCTATTATGACCCTCTGACTATGAGCTCCTTCGTGCCCTCCCGATGTGTGGGAGGTGCTCATAAAAATTTGCTGAAGAAAGGGAGGGAAGAGGGGAGAGAGGAAAGAAAGCAGAGGGAAAGAATATTAAATTTTCCTATGTCTCCCATACAGAAAGTCCTCCTCCAACCAGCCACCTTTTGCCACCTCTTCTCTTTTTCCCCCTCCTTATTTTATTTTTCTTTATAGCATTTTTCACTTTTTGAAATTATATTACACATTTATACGTTTACTTCCTCTCTTCCAAAAAACGGCAAGTTCCATGGAGATAAGGAACATAACTGGTTATTTACCACTGTACCCCCTTGTCCCTAAATAGTACCTTGCAAATGGTAGATGCTCAATAATCATTTGAATGGATGAATCAATCAATTATTATATCAATAAACCTGAGATATGCCACTTAATATCTTAAGATATTCAGCAAATAATTGACCCTCTCAGCGTTAGTTTCCTCATCTGAAAAGTGGTGATAATAAAATACCTACCTCATAAGGTTGGTGTATTAAATATGATAATTACAAAAGGGATTAAACCAATGATGTTGTGTACAGAAGTTCTCAAAAAGTTACCTTTTAAATCATATTGTGGGGCGGCGCCTGTGGCTCAAAGGAGTAGGGCGCCAGCCCCATACACCGGAGGTGGTGGGTTCAAACCCAGCCCCAGACAAAAACTGCAATAAATAAATAAATAAATATATAAATAAATAAATCATATTGTAGCAATTCGTTTCTGCCTGAATCCCCACAGCAACAAGGAACTCAGTAACTGAGTATATTACTGATGTGCTACTTCATTCCTCCAAGGTTTCCCAGCACTGCTCCAGACTCAGTTTGCCTATGTGACCCTGAAAAGTTCCCCCTGAGGAAAAAGATAATGTAGATTCAACAAATGAGAAATGTTCTGAGCATCTGAACTTTTTTAAAATGAGGGTTTGCTTTGAGGGCAAAAGCTAGTGCAACTGGGCAAAAAACACAGCTAAATTCAACTAGATAAATTTCTACTTTCATGTACTGAAAAGGTGAAACTGAATAAAGATCTGAAGGAGGCAAGGGGCTGCTTTTCTAGGGAAACTCGCCTTTGAATAATTCAGCATCAAGTGGTAAAGCATGACCAGGGTTTTCAGAAGAATGATAATTTTTTCAGGGGCTTCATCAGATGTAGATTCTCGAATGTTCAAGATTGAAGTCAGGATCCGAATGGCTTCTGCTTCTTGGGCTTCGTCTACATTGGAAGGGAAAGAAAGAAAATCTTGGCATCCAAGTCTGCCATCATCATGCACTCAGTTGTTAGGGGACCTAGTCTGCTAAAGTGTCCTGGGGTGGAGGGAGGCGGTAGCAGTAGTGGAAACAAGACAAGTCCCAGCGAGTTCTTCAAATGAAGGACTACTGCCAGGCACAGTGGCTCATGCCTGTAATCCTAGCACTCTGGGATGCAGAGGCAGGTGGATTGCCTAAGCTCATAGGTTCAAGACCAGCCTAAGCAAGAGCGAGAGGTCCCTGACTCTACTAAACATAGAAAAACTATCCAGGAGTTGTGACAGGTGCCTGTAGTCCCAGCTACTCAGGAGGCTGAGGCAAGAGGATTGCTGGAACCCAGGAGTTTGAGATTGCTGTGAGCCATGACACACCAGGGCACTCTACCCAGGGTGACAGAGTAAGACTCTGTATCAAAAAAAAGAACTACTGCCTCTAGGGCAGGAAGTCAGAGTTTCAGGTAGTTATCTGGCTTTGCTTAGCTCATTATCAGAGTAGCCTAAAGACATGCTCACTCTCACAGGTCCCAAAATTACTAAATTTTCTCTTTCAGATTTGCTGAACACTAGACCTCTTGAGCTCCCAAAGGTAGGTAATTCATCAAAGCCAGATTTCTTGGGGTCACTTCAGCTTCCACTCTATGACTGAGAGGAGGGAGTTGGGGGAGGGAGGGCTTCTTGGAGCTGCAGCAGCTTAATTCTTCTCCCCCATCCAAAGATGGGTAAGCAATAGCCTTTCTACTTCCTTGTATGAGCCTGTTTACTGCTTCCCCCAGCAGCGTTTGGTCCTACTTTAAATGCCATTTATTGAGCAGTTACTGTGGGCCAGGTAGTTAAAAGCACTTATATTTAAAAGTATGAAGCTTAGGGAAAAAAGATAAAAAGGACTTGTGCCATAATGGTAAGGTTGACTACCTTTGGTTATATGATTTCCAAGTTTTCTGTTGTCATATGAACTACTTTCATTATGAGAGAAAACCCAATAAAGTTATTACTCTTTTAAACCTTAGCCCCAAATCTCTTCTCCAAAAAGTCTTCTTTCTTCAACACCACCCAATTGTCCTCACCTTTTCACTCTGGAACTCATCTTATCACATCATTTGTACTCACAGAAATGTTCTTTGGTTATCACATGTAGGTTCTATATGACCAACTACACTCTATGTCTCTTTTGAGTGGAAACTAGCCCCTCTGTCTCTTTTTGTTATCTCAAAGGGTGTGATGCTTTATGGTGCTACTCAATACCCAACCCTTTGCTAATCCTGGAAATAGAGATGAATTAGATTTGGCCCTGCCACTGAGCAGCTCACAGTTAGTAAAGGAGGAGGATAAAGTTCCCCCAAGAAATCAGCAATGCAGCCTCTGCATAGAGTCTACCTTGGAGAGACAACATAAGAAATGGATGCTCTGGAGCTGGGCGTGGTGGCTCACACCTGTAATCCAAGCATTCTGGGAGAGTGAGGCAGGTAGATTGAGCTCCGGAGTTTGAGATCAGCCTGAGCAGCAAGAGAAAGACCTGGTTTCTAAAAAACAGCCAGGCATTATGGCAGGTACCTATAGTCCCAGCTACCAGGGAGGCTGAGGTAGCTGGGACTATAGGCCCAAGAGTTGAGCCCAAGAGTTTGAGGTTGCTGTGAGCTATGATGCCACAGCACTCCACCGAGGGCAACAAAATAAAACTCTGTCTCAAAAAAAAGAAAAAATGAATACTCTGCAGAAATCACAGGAAGCTCTGAGGAACTCTTGTTTCCTCCAAACAAGAGGAACAAGGGCTTCCTCACTAGCCTCCAGAAAGGCTGTGTGTTATTACGGGGATCTGAATTCTTTCCAACACTGGTAAAATCTCTTTGATCCCCATGTCCTAGTTTTCCCTATCAGCAAAATGAGGAAGATGGTTCTAATGTGCTCCATGATAGGGACAGCTATTGTCCCACTTAGGGATAAGGCCTGAGTATTAGGTGGGATGAAGTTACTACTGTGTCTCCAAGGGAAAGGCGACACTTACCCAAGCTAGTATCCTTCTCAAATCGTTTTCCCAATAAATCTTGTTGGGCTTCATTCTGTAAGAAGAGTTTATACTGTTCATTCATATATTTATTCCAGATATCAGAGACCTGTTGGGAAAAGAGATGGTGATCAGACAGGTAGATCAGATCTGGCCATTGGACCAGCCAGGTGGGGAAAGCAGAACATCTGTCCAGGTGTCCTGAAGTCTCCAGAAGTCTCCCTCTTATCTTGTGCCTGAAGGCAGAGGGAGCCCTAGGAGCACCAACAGACCTGTCCAAAGCTTGACAGCTGAGGAGCTGCAAAGGACATGTGGCAGGCCCATCTATGGGCAGCCCTGGTGGGGTCCAATGACAAGGGCTACCACTGGTGGAGCACATACATCACTAAGCCTTCATACCCCCCACAACATCCCAGTTGAAGAAATATTCTTATTATTCCCATTTTACATGTCAATAAACTGAGGTGTAGAGAAGTTAAGATCATACTGGACTTCTAGTAAGAGCTGTTAAGTGACATGGCCAGGATTTAAACCCAGGGCTGTCTGACTCCAAAGCTCATTGCTTTTCGGCTACAGCAAAATGCTTCTTCCAAAGAAGTGGGTCTAAAATATCAATCAACAGCCATAGCATGATAGACTCTGTCTCACACAGAAATGGCTGCTTGTTAAGTGAGGTGTTTCTGTATGAATGTAACTGATGGTCAAAATCATTTACATGTAAAGATGAAAATTTTAGTGTTCTCATGCAGCAACAGATTTCCCTTGACACATTTCTCTGTCACACACTTCAGTATGCCCACATTAGCATGCTCCTATGGGTATGGCAGAGCATAGCGCAGTCTATTTGGTGGGGTTTGGTGCTTACTGACCACCATACATTATTTGTTAATCACTCTATGGATGCTAAGGATTAGTCTCTTTCAGTAGTAGAGAAACTGGAAGAAAGAAAAATTGGAGCATATCACGTATCAGGCTATGTAACCTTGGGCAAGTCACTTCATCTCTTTGCACCACTCTTTATGGTACTTTTCTCTTGAATGGTCTGACACTACTTGTAAGAGACCGAGCCTCTGTGTCAAGGATTCGTTCCTACATTCCCCAGCTCACCTTGGTATACAGTGTGTCTGCCAGGTCCATCTTGTTAAGAATATAGAATATATTAGCCAGGTGGAAGTAGCCTCCCGAGGTCCTGATGTCCTCTGTTCCGAATGCACAGCTGGCAAAATAAATCTACAGCAAGAGGCAGAAAGAGAGTGCTTGAGTTCCCTTTGCAAATCATGTATCTGGCAAAGGACTTGTATCTAGAATACACATTTAAAATAAAAAAAACTTTTATAACGGCCTGATTTAAAATGTTTAAATGTTTATGATCCTGAATAGACATTTCTCAAAAAAGGCACGCAAATGGTTAATAGGCACATGAAAAGATACTTGAAATTGTTAGTTATTAGGAAAATGAAAAATAAAACCAGAATGAGATACCATTGCATACCTACTGGGATGGTTAGAATCAAAAAGAATGTAGCAAGTATTGACAATGATACAAAGGAAATAAAATACTCAGACATTACTGGTGGGAATGTTAAATGGTGCAAGCTCTGTGGAAACAGTTTGGCAGTTTCTCAAAAAGTTAAACACACAGTTACTATATGATCTAGCAATTCCTTTTCTAGGAATGGAAACCTGTGTCCAACACAAAGACTTGGAAACAAATGTTCACAGCAATATTACTCAAAATAGACAAAAATGGAAACAACTGAAATGTCCATCAACTGATGAATGGATAAACAAATTGTAGTATATCCAGATGATGGACTGCTCAGTAAGAAAAAGAATGATTTATTGACACATTCAACAACATGGATGTATCTCAAAACTGCTATGCTAAATGAAAGAGGTCAGATACAAAAGACCATATGATTTTGTTTATATAAAATGTCCAGGGAAAGCAAATCCATGGGACAGAAAGTGGTTGCCTGAGAATGGGGTGGGAATGGGAAGAGATTGTAAATGCAGATGAGGGATCTTTTTGGAGGAAGGGAAATGTTCTAACATTGATTGTGCTGCTGGTTAAATGCTGTACATTTACTAAAAATAATTGAATTGCACACTTAAAATGGTTCATTTTGTGGTATGTATCAATAAAGCAGTGTTTTTAAAAAGTGAGGCTAAGGAATCCGGGTTTGTGCTACTTCTTTACTATGTGACCCAGCTCAAGACACAATGTGCCTCTGTTTAATTTGTTGAGAATATAGAAAGGAAAAACAAATGGGCTCGGCGTCTGTGGCTCAAGCGGCTAAGGCGCCAGCCACATACACCTAAGGTGGCGGGTTCGAATCCAGCCCGGACCTGCCAAACAACAATAATGGCTGCAACCAAAAAATAGCCGGGCGTTGTGGCGGGCGCCTGTGGTCCCAGCTACTTGGGAG